AACACGAAAATTCTGTAATGAGTGAAACGAGAACACGTGTACAAAATAGATTTGTACTGATTTGAATTTGTAAGTTACAATCTTTGTTTACAATTTTCTCGATTCAGTCTTCAAATTTGATGTAGATGTGTAGGTTGTTGATCCAAGGGTCGCGATAACTTGATCTCGAATGAACAATTTGAACAATTCCTTCAAGTTTCGAGCTTGAAAAACGCTTGGATGGTCTTCACCTCAAAGTTGCGGCAAAGGTAGTGTTAATGTAGGATTTCATTGATTCAAGGGTCTTGGTAACTTGATCTTGAATCAAACGTCGTTACAAGTTTCGAGCTTGCAACAAAGTCTTGAAGGAATCGGCACAGGTACTTGTTGATTCTTGAAGGGAATTCTTTGGCTTTGGTTGTGTGTTCTTTGAAGAGAGCTTTGGCAGCGTATTAGTCTTCAAAGATTTGGCAGAGGTTCTCCTTTTTTGAGAATTTCGGCCCTTTGATGTAGAAAATTTTTTTACCCCCCTGTGTCTTGGGACCTTGTATTTATAGACTTCTAAAGACATGCCTTTGGGTGGATTTGGCTTTGATTTGTGTCTTGATTCGTCCATGGGAGAATTGAGGCCTGTTTTGTGCCTTAATTTCAGCCACTTTCCCTTGCTTGGCCGAATTATAGGGCTTTCTTATCTATTTTGTGAGCAATCTTTAATTCTTACTTGTTTTGTGAAAATGCTTTAGTTTTCTTTCCAGTTTTGGGAGCAATTGGGCCCCTTGTCGATTTTAAGAGATATTTTCTCCCTTTTGTTGAATTTTGGGAAAGTTTAGTTCCTTCTTTGCTTGATTTGTGCCACATGTCATTGATAACTTGTCCATTTGTGATGAGTCATATGCCACATGGAGCTTTGTGATGCATCATTTGTATGCAACAAAATTTACATGTCTACAATAAACATATATCATGCGATCCTAGGACCATAATATCAAAAGCTTATTTGGGGTCAAAACTACACAATTTTTTTTATTTGGAGTGCATTTGGATTGTTTTCGGCATTAATAAAATACAAACGACTGTGCGTTTGACGCCAATTGGAACTTAAGAAAATAGGCATATATAATCCGTTACTAGGACCATAAGAATGGGTACTTAATAAATCAAAAGCTCATTGGGTGCCAAATGTATTTTGAGTGCAATTGGACTGTTTTCGACATTTATAAAAACAAATGATAGTACGGTTTATAGAAATAGGAAAACTTCCTCTGAGAGCTTTCAATTGTATTTACTTAATTAATTGTTTGTACACTGTGAAGGTATATATATAGCCTTTGGCTATTTACATAGATACCCCTTAACTGCCTAACCTTATAACAATCCTAACTAATCACAACCATTAGCACAGCTAATTACATTTAGTTGTAACAAACTATTTAACAGTAACTGAAATGGATGACTTGTCATTCTCCCTAATACACCCCTTCAAGCTAGAAGGGGAATCAGAAGATATTCCAATTGGAAGCTTGGAGCACAGATAGTGAAATCGACTTTTAGATAGGGACTTGGTGTGGAGATTAGCCAATTGGTTATCATTACAAACAAACTGCACTTTAAAAAGATTAGCCAAAACCAATTCTCGAATATAGTGGTAGTCTATCTCAACATGCTTTGTGTGAGCATATAAGACAGGATTAGATGCTAAAGATAATGTTGAGATGTTGTCACACCAAAGTTGAGGCAGTGTAGGTAGAGGAAAGTGAAGATCTCTAAGAATTTTGCAAACCCAAGTGAGTTCTACAGCTGTGTGAGCTAAGGAGCGATATTCAGCTTCTATAGATGACCTAGCAACAGTACTTTGTTTCTTGGTACTCCAACTAATGAGATTGGAGCCTTAGAACACACAGTAACCACCTGTAGAATGTCTATCAAATGTACAGCCAGCCCAATCAGCATCAGAGTATGCTGAAAGATGGACAAAACCCTTTATGAACCACAAACCATGTGAAAGAGAACCTTTAAGAAATCTGAGAACTCTTTTAGCTGCCTGAAGATGTTGTTCCCTAGGAGTATGCATGAATTGGCAGATCTGGTTCACAGTAAATGCAAGGTCCGATATAGTCCAAGTTAGATATTGTAAACCTCCTACAATAGAACGATATTCAGTGGGATTGGACAAAAGGGGCACACTATGATCTAATTTCTTGGAACTAAGAGATGTGCAGCACGATTTGGCACCCTCCATGTTTGTTTTCTTGAGAAGATCAAGTAAATACTTGGTTTGATGTAAAAAGATGCCTTGTGAGGATCTGTGTACTTCTAAGCCCAAGAAGTGTAAAGGACCAAGATCCTTCACTGGAAACTGAGAACTAAGTTGTGTAATAAACTGCTAACATAGTTTAGAGTTTGGACCAGTTACTAGAATATCGTCAACATACACTAGGATAATAACCAAATGAGGACCATTTAGAACAAACAAGGAGGCATCAGAGGAAGATTATTTGAACCCAAGAGAATGAAGGGCTTGAAATAATTTATCAAACTAGGCTCGAGGACCTTGTTTGAGTCCATATAGAGATTTCCTCAACTTGTAAACATGACTAGGATAATTAGGATCAACAAACTCTGGAGGTTGTGGCATGTAGACATCCTCCTTTAAGTCTCCATGAAGAAAGGCATTACTTATATCCAATTGATTGAGAAACCAATTATATTGGACAGCAAGAGTGAGTAGGATTCGAATTGTAACCGGCTTGGCAACTAGACTAAAAGTCTCTTAGAAGTCAATACCTTCTTGTTGATGGAAGCCCTTTGCCACAAGGCAAGCTTTATACCTGTCAATAGTACCATCAGCCTTTTTCTTAACTCGAAACACCCACTTACATCCAACTATATTTTGGGAAGGATGAGAGGGGGACTAGTGACCAAGTACCAGTAGATATCAAGGCATTGTACTCATCTTGCATTGTAGCTCCAATGAGCATGCTTAGAAGCTTGCAAGTATGTATTAGGAACATAATCAAGATCAACAGGAAAATGGTGCTTAGTTGCTGCATAAGCTTGAGGTTTAGACTTGCATATGCCATCCTTGGATCTTGTGATCATTGCAAGATAATTAATAGGGATAGAAGGATGTCTTGTCTGACTTAATGGCAAGGTAAAGGGTTCTGAAACAGAAACAGAACTAGAATGAGGTACTGAGATGGTTTGAGAAGAAGATGAATTTAGAGAATTGGAGACAGGGGCAGAAACATATGGTAGGGGGGTGATGCACTGCTAGTGGAGAGATTGGGAATATATTGATCAAAATGAAGATCCAAAGATGAAGAACTTTCTAGAGATGATGTATTTTGATTGAAACATTAAGGCTACATTGACTGAAATGGATAGGTACTTTCATCAAATACAACATGTCTGAAGATGTAAATTCTATTTGTAAGTTGATCAATATACCTATAGCCTTTATGTTGTTGACTATATCCGAGAAATGTGCAACTTTTTCTCTTGGCATCCAATTTGCTATGAACATAGGGTTTGAGCCAAGGGAAGCATTGGCAACCAAACACTTTGAATTTGGAGTAGCCAAGGGGTTGACGGAATAGTAGTTCCCATGGTGACTTTGAAATACTAGAGAAGGGAAGTTGATTAATGAGGTACATTGCAGTGGAGAAAGCTTCAACCCAGAATATACACGGAACTTGAGAAACAACTAGCAAAGTACGAGCTGTCTCAACAAGGTGCCTATGCTTTCTCTCAGCACAACCGTTTTGTTCAACAGTATGGGGACAACTAAATTGGTGAAAAATGCCATGTTTACTGAGAAATGATGCAAAGGATGTGCTGGTGAATTCACCCCCTAAATCTGAACGCAGAACTTTGATTTTATTTCCAAGTAAGTTTTCTACATAGGATTTGAAGACAACAAATGTAGAAAATACATCTGACTTTGACTTTAAAGGAAATAACCAACTATATTTGCTAAAGTCATCAACAAGAAGCAATAAGAACCGACTGATTTGATAATATAAAGATGCTAGATCCCATATGGTTATTGATTCAGACTTATTTAAAGCAATTAATGTGGCCAATGATTGTTCCAAAGAACATATTGGATAAGTTTGTTTTGTGCAGGAAGCTAGAAATCAACTCAAAGTCCAGTGTTTAAGGATGAAAATCTCTAAAGATAAGTCTGATTAAAGTGCATTGGACAGATGAGTGTGGAAGGAAAAGGTGTGAGAATTGTAATGATTACTGAAGTATGGATTGTACATATATGCATATGTCATTGACATCATACAGTGCGATTTTGAATATCGTGATTTCAGGGTGCATGCAGTATTGATACATGCATTGTTTTTTGGAGTTCAATTTTCAAATGTTTATTAGTATATGTGTATAGGATATGGATTGCGTGAAACTCACGGTGATCACTAAGGAATGATTTATAATGAACATGTTGTTTCAAACTACAACTAGTTAACGTCCAAGTGTGAGAATGTAAGAATCCTAATTGGACTCAACTAGTAGTGATATAGATGTGTCAACATGTTTGAAATTATAAATCAGTTAGGGTTTTGTATATGTGTAAAAACATGTCCTACAATTGAGGAGTTACATCCATCATGCTTTGCATTTTGAAGCACGTACTAGAACTACTTCCTCCACTACTGGAATTGAAAGCAACGGCTCTATAACCAACCTCCATGATAGATGGAAGTTGGGTAACCTTGCTTTATTTAAAAAGGATTCCCTGCTCATAGAGAAAAGCTTCTTCGTTTTTGGAACTATCACCATAAAGACATACAGGTCTCCAAGTGAGTAGAAGAGCCTTTTGCATCGTGTTCATGGCCTCTACATGAACGAATTGGTGATTTTTTGTATTCTGCAGGTAAGATTACACTAATCTTGCTACGTTGTCTTCTAGAGTTTACTGTTAGTTTTAGGGTTAATTCCAACACTTTATTGCCGTCAAAGTCCTCAACAGTTCTAAGGGAGATGGGGAAGAGTTCCTAAATGAAGTGCGAAAGATGGGTCATATCCACCACATCAACGTGGCTCACTTGGTTGGATTTTGTGCTGATGGATTTGTACGAGCTCTTGTTTACGAGTTATTCCCCAATGGTTCCCTGCAAGATTTCATTTCATCTGCAGATATTAAGAATTCCTTCCTTGGTTGGGATAAGCTGCAAGATATTGCCCTAGGCATAGCCAAAGGAATTGAATATCTTCACCAAGGATGTGATCAACGAATCCTCCATTTCGATATCAAACCCCATAATGTTTTGCTAGACCAAAACTTCACTCCAAAAATTTCTGATTTTGGTTTTGGCCAAGTTATGCTCTAAGGATCAAAGCATGGTGTCTATCACTACAGCTAGGGGGACCATGGGCTACATTGCACCTGAAGTGTTATCCAGGAATTTCGGAAATGTGTCTTACAAGGCAGATATCTATAGCTTTGAAATGATGCTGCTTGAGATGGTAGGAGGAATGAAGAATATTGGTTCAACCACAGAGAACACCACAAATGAAATTTACTATCCCCAATGGATTTATAATCTTTTAAAGGAAGAGGATGACCTACGAATCCATATTGGGGAAGAAGGAGATGGTAAAATTCCTAGGAAACTTGCAATTATAGGGCTATGGTGTATTATGTGACACCCGGTAGAACATCCTTCCATGAAAATAGCGGTTCAGATGTTAGAAGGAGGAGGTGAAAACTTGACCATACCGCCTAGTCCCTTTGTGCCTACAACTAGAAATATAAGCATTCCGGCAAGACAACTAGAGTTGGAAGCAATTGCTGAACTAGAGTAGAATGTAAATGCATATATATAGAGGCCCTTAAAGATCCCCATTTTTTGAAGAAAAAGAAAGGCCCTTAGTTGTGAAACCTACTTCACATTCAACTTCTACGATCTAAACGGTTTATATTGTAAGTTTCAATTTATTTTTGCAAAAATTCAATTCAATCTGAAACCATTTGCTCATGTAATTGTTACAATAATATTTTAATGTTTCTTAAAACATAGTGTTTGTCAATTTCTTTGAACTCAATTAAATGTCCCAAATATTTCCAATTTGGCTAATATTTTGCAAAGATGATCTATGAGGTACAACTTGAAAAATAAACAGTTCAGATCGTTGAAGTTCGATGTGATGTGGGCTTTGCAACTAATTCATCCCTTCCCTTAAAAGCTCTGTGTGTGTGTGTGTGTGTGTGTGTGTGTGTGTGTGTGTGTGTGTGTGTGTGTGTGTGTGTGTGTGTGTGTGTGTGTGTGTGTGTGTGTGTGTGTGTGTGTGTGTGTGTGTGTGTGTGTGTGTGTGTATTCTTCTTAACTTCTGCTTCTCTTAGGAGTTTCTCATGCTCTAGATTTGAGTTTCCTTGTTGGTATGAGCCTAGGTCATTCTTTACAGCTCTACCATTTTCATTTATTAATTTTTTTTTTTGTTGTTCCAATGACTTTTGGACAGTGTGTTAAGGTTAAGATTACCATTGTTTATATATATATATATATATATATATGCCATTACTTCTCTCGTTGATTTAGATTGGCTTTTGTTTTAAAAGTACAATTTTTAATTATTGGTCTTTGAGAAACGAAGATATCTTGGTGTCCAATGGTCGAAACCAAAAAATTGTACAGAATGTGTAGCACATGGCAACAAGTGTACCTTGAAGAAAAACGACATGCATCAAGAGTAATGTATTAAAAGGCTAAAGCATAGGCAAAGCGTTTTGCCTAGGCGTGAGGTGGGACCTAAATTCTTAATATATATTGTATATGTAATTATATATATATATATATATATATATATATTTAATATGATATTTTGTAAAACAATTAAGGAAAATAGTCAGAAATGATCCATTTTTTAAAATATTTAGACCTAAATAACAATTTTTTTTAAGGAAAACTAATGAAAATGACTTAAAAACTTTGAGATTTAACAATAAGGATAAAATAAAGGGTAAAGTGAATAGTACCAGGATTGACTTTTTAGTGTAAAAATATGGTTTTTCGTTAAAGTAAACAATAGCGGGAGTTTTTCGTTAAAATTCTATTTTTTAATTGTGTATGCGCACACGAAATGTACAAAAATATGACAGAAATATGATTTTTTTTTTCTTTTTTAACTTGAAAAGATCAAATAGCCATCCCAAATTGGTTATTGCGAAAGACGCAATCCCTTTACTCCTAATGATGGAGTTATAGATTTTGCACTATCTACCCCTTATAATTTCTTCTTCATAGACTCTGTCTCTCCCTCTCTACGACCCAACCCCAAACCCAAATCGACCATTTCGGTGAAAAAGTCGAAGAAATCTAGTGATGTTGCACTTACCGCTGAAAGTGAGGTAGTCATTGTATTTGAACGGAAAATTTCCATCATCAAAGACCCCACTACCGCAGAAAATTTGGGAGATTATGAAATTTGGATTTTTAGTGTTGCACCTACCCCGCTCTCTCCACGACTGTTATGATTCAACTTCTCAGCTACCAAGCTCAACCTGCAAGTTGCTCGGTAACAATGGTGAACAAGCAAGTAGAGAGGGGGGAGAGATTTTTTTTTGTAATATTGTATTTTTAATATTCAAATGACCATTGGCAAAACAATGCCACAATTTCAACCCAAAAAAAAAAAAAAAAAAAAAACAATGCCATAATTGATTCATATACAACCTCCAATCTCATAGTGCCAGCTGGCCACTATCTCTAACAACCTCTTAGCTAATTAAAATGCCACTATTATTCTAAAAGCCATTATAGTCATAACACTACCCCCTCTATTACAAAATAAGCCTTGTCCTCAAGATTAGGATTAGAGACTAAATTCAGGAAATTTGGCAGTAAACTCATCATAGTCTTCCCATGTGGCTTCTTCCTCCTTGCTATTCTTCCATTGAATTAACAATTGGACTCCAGCGACATTACCCTTCTTGTACATTCTTCTCTGTAGCGTTATCATTGGCTCAAGTGGTAGTAAACCATCATCAATAATCATAGGCAATAATGGAGCTGTATTAACTTTATCTCCCAAGTGTTTCTTCAAACAACTAACATGAAATACTTGATGTATCTTAGAACCTTCAGGAAGCTTCAACTTATAGGCCACTTTTCCAATCTTTTCCACAACTGCATAATTAAGGACCATAGTACTTAGGATGGAGCTTATGGTAAGCATGAGATGCCAGGGATTGCAATTGATAGGGTATCAATTTCAAATACACTAAGTTTCCCTCTTCAAAAACCCTTTTCACTCTTGTGCTTTAAGATTGTATTTTCATCACATTATGGGCCACCTGGAAATTTGTTTTCAACATTGCTAAGAGTTTGTCCCTAGCTATCAATCCTTGCTCCATTATGTCTAACTTAGTACTGCCAAGTTCATAAGAGGCAATGTGTAGTGGTGGGTAACCATATACCACTTCAAAGGGTGTGAACTTAGCTGAAGTGTGGTAAGATGTGTTATAACTCCATTCAGCCCAGTTAAGCCATTGGAGCCACTTCTTAGGTTGACAACCAATGAAGCATCTCAAGAAGGTTTCAAGGCATCTATTCACCACTTCAGTCTAGCCATCACTCTGTAGATGGTAACCATAACTCATGCACAATTTAGAACCGTACAACTTAAAGAAATCCTTCCAAAAAGCACTCTTAAAAATGGTGTCCCTGTCACTCATAATGGTATAGGGCAATCCCATGTAGAATGAACACATTGTCAACAAACTCATGAGCTACCATGCTTGCAGTGTAAGGATGTGCTAAGGGAATGAAATGAGCATGCTTAGATAACATGTGCACTATCACCATAATTACTGATTTTCCTTTGCACAAGAGTAAACTAGTGATGAAATCCATGCTAATGTTCTTCCATACACGCTCAAGTATTGGTAGGGGTTGTAGCAATCTTGGAGGGGAGATGGTTTCATACTTATCTTGCAGGTTTTCTCTACACTCAGCAACCTAAGACTTGATATCCTTCTTCATCCTTATCTAATGGAATCCCTTCTTCAATGTCTGATAAGTCTTTAGGACCCTTTCATGGCCTACACTTGGAGATGAGTGATGCTTTTCAAAAAGTTTCCTCATCCATATCGATTCTAGGTTAAGCACAATCCTAGACTTGTATTATAGGAAACCATTGTCTAAATGGTATTTGGATAGACTGGTATCAGTTGTAGTACATTAAGAACATGCTACCACTTCTTAAAACTTGTGTTTGATCCAACTATCTTGCTCTATTACTCTTCTGAGTTCATCCAGCCATCCAAAGTAGGGATAAGTTATAGGTTTGCACTCCATTAGTTCACTGAGAGGTTCTTCTTGTAACTAGATGATTCAGCCACTCGAGACAAGGCATCAGCCACCATATTGTCACTACCCTGTCGATATTGTATTTCATAATCAAATCCTAACAATTTTGCCACCTATTTCTATTGGAATTGAGTGTTGGTTCTTTGACTCATAAAATATTTCAAGCTATTATGGTCTGTCTTTATAGTGAAATGGCGCATCTGAAGGTAGTTTTGCCATTTTTTTACTACACTAACAATGGCAATCAACTCTCTTTCATATGTTAACAGTGCTTGATTCCTTGGTCCTAGAGCTTGACTTGTAAATGCTATAGGCTTGCCATTCTATTGTAGCACACAGCGCTTATCCCATTTCCAAAAGCATTACACTCCAGAGTGAATGGAATAGAGAAATTGGGGAGAGCTAATAATTGTGGAAAGGTCATGGTTATTTTTATTTCCTAGAATGCTGTCATAGCTTCAGTAGACCACTTGAACCCATCCTTTTTGACAATTTGGTACAAAGGCTGACACACCTAGCCATAACCAAGTATGAATTTTCTGTAGTACCCTGTGAGCCCTAGAAATCCCCTCATTTCTTTAACATTTTTAGGTATTGGCTAGTCCAAAATAACTTGAGTCTTGGCAAGATCAGTTGTTACCCCATTTCTAGACACTATGTGCCCTAAATACTCCACTTATGATTGACCAAAAATGCATTTAGATTTCTTCAATGCCAATTGGTGCTTCTGTAATAACTCAAAAGTTTGATGTAGGTGTTAAAGATGTTCCTCCCAGTTGTTGATATACACCAAGATGTCATCAAAGAACACCAATATGAATTTCTTGAGGTATAGATGTTGGAAATATGCCCTGAAAGTCAATCTTTGGAAGAAACCTTTCAGGACAAATGAATCGATATATGGATGACTCTTATACATCAAATGGCAAAGACACGAATTAAGACTATCTCAATAAACGATATATGTCCTAAATAGTGTATCCATGGATAATGGATCAATTGAAGAAGTAATCTAATGATGT